CCCCACGATAACCTCTTCTTTCCAACTGCCATCTATCTGTCGAATGTGAGCTTGCAACAGAGTGAACCTACTGTGTTCGACCTCGTTTCAGATCTCACAAACCACTGTTCGATGCAAACCACGTTCGCTTACTGCTTCGCCTGTCTCATGCAGGAATCAGGCAAATCGGAGCCCTGTAGCAGTCTCCTCTCTGAGTTAGTCACTGGACTTATCCCTCTGTCATCACTAGATGCGGCCTCTGTCTACTCCGCTTTTCGTAGGCTCCTGGGTTTAGCTGAGGAGAGTGACTCGCACATGTACGACAGTAAAAACATTGTATACCTGTGGATGTGTTTTGGCCTCTTCAGTATGCTTCATAATTTTTCTTCATCTCTCCTTCCCGAGTTCCTTCGTCACGCCATCACCCGCTTGTCTGACTACCAAGAGGAAGCCTTTCCCTATCCTCTTGTTGCCCTACTTTTCCACCTGGGTCTGGCCCTAGCCAACATGCTTCCCACTGCAGATGAATACTCGGCTGCGCTGAGTGTTCTCTTCTTTCCGCCTGCTCTCACCGAGGATCTAAACTTTCGTTTCAACCCACCGTCATGGTTTCTCGAGGTCCTTCAATCCGTTCGAGTGGACAAATTCTCCGCTTCCTATCCGCCTACTCCTCTGTTTACTCGCCTCCTAGACACCTACGGATTCCGTACTCTAAAGGCGCTTTTCGCTGGTGGTGGCTTCCTGTGCAATACTAATGCACCTGATTCTCTCCGGTGGTTGCAGAGCCTGTGTTCTATCGCGAGACTTGAACGACCTATGGATGAGGAGTTTTGGTTGATGGTCGCCGGCCTGGGTATTAAGTTCTACCCTCCCAAACAAGATGCGGGCAAGGGGCTTGCCAGTTACTTGGTCGAGTGTCTGGCAGACGCAGTGAAACTGATGCCGCTAAGTAGCAAGCTGTGGCAACTCTACGCCCTAGTACTGAGGAACTGTGGCTTCAGTGAGGGGCATCGGGTGGCCTTGGTGAAGCGAGTCGCGGCGTTGGCGGTTGGCATGGAGGTGGTGGTGGAGGAGGTCTTTGCAACTGCTGGTGTGAGTTTACCTCCCGAGACTGCGATGGTGAAATCTCTGGCGTGTAAAGATTTGACAGACTGGTGGAATCAGTCCTTGTAGTGAGCTTCTGTACGTTTTTTGACTTACCGTTTTTCATTCATGCTCTTAATTACTTGTTCCTTTCCAGGAACCTCTCATTCGCCTCTTATTAGTTATTAATTTGTTGCAGTTCTTGTGTGGAAGGATAGACAGAGAGGGATAGGTGCTTGTGTGAGAGCAAAGTCGGGGTTTTATTCAGGTAAGTTTTTTATACGCCCCTCGTCAGCCCGCATCCTTCCCAGGAGGTGTCAAAAGAAGTGTCACTTGTTGCCAGAGGGGAGGCTCTATTTGATAGGTCTTATTGCTTGGTCTTTCAACTAGTTCTTCGCCTCTTCCTTCTTTTCCTAGTCTTTCTTTTCTTTCAATACCTCCATTTCGCTCAACTCCATGTGTATGCATGCATACGAGCTTGCGTACGTGCGCATATGTATACATAGATATATTTTTTATTTGTTAATAAAGTGTTTCATGCGCACGAATTGGTGAGAATTGTCATTTTTGCATTTTGAGAAATTGTTTCACTGGAACGAAGTATGATATGGAATTAGGGGGTGGTAAGTTTTTTAATCTCGTTTGTCTACAGAAGCGGTGATTCGTTTGAGGAGTTCTCTTTCACGACTAGCGAAAGCGCACTGGCTAGTTGTTATGGTCATCTCGAGGGACTGGAGCCTTCGAGCGAATGATCTGCGTAGCTCTTGCTCCCGCTGTCGACACGAATCCAATTCTGTTGTTTGTGCTATCAACTGCGCCTCTTGGCGTTGACTGTGCTCTCGCAGCTGGACCAGTTTTTCTTGACATGACTCCAACTAGAAGGGTCAAAGGAGGAGTAGCTTCCCAAATGCTTGCCTTTACTGTCACTGTGTGCAGTTGATTTACAGAAAGACATCAGTGTGTTGGAATTTATAATTAAAAGCAGCCTGATAATTCTTACTAGTTTAAGGTTCGTGGAGTCTACTTAATTGATAACAGTAGGGTGGTGTCTACCTGGGCAATATGAACAAACCGGGGGTGACAGTGGATTGCATGCCGCCCATATAAATAATACCTCTCAAAATGCGGGCAGAAGTTGGAATTGCAAACTCATCTACCTGCTAATTTAACCCAGATTCAGACCATCTCCCTTGATGAATGACTTGAATAGCAAATAAGGGCTACCTCCATGTTCTTGACTATCAGTTCCTGCTTTATTTTCTCTACTTCCGACTCCGCGCGTTGCATCTCCGTTTTGTGTTGAAGTCGGATCAGGGCTGTGTTGTCGCAGTGAATGCGAGAATGGATTACATCCCCACTGCTCATTGAAACCTTCCTCGTCATGCACTCATCGCACATCGAACGGAGCTTCGTCACTTCACCTGACAGACGCTCATTTTGTAGTTGGAGGGTTGATTTCTCCTGGTACCAATGGAAGATTCTCAATTAATCGAAGTCTTTTATCAAAGTAAGGGTGCATCATCCGATTGGCCTTAATTACCAGTTCCAAGTCTAGTTGGCACTTGAGGAGCTGCACAATCTTTGCGTTGGCTCTCTTTCGAGTGTGTGCGGACATTAGTCTGACAAGCTCGTTGGTGTCCTTCATAAGAACGCCCACCTTCCTCCTCAACGCGTTGATTTCTGCGTCCTTCAGTGAGCAGATCTCCAAGGCGACAAAAGTGTACTTCTTTAGGTTGAGGCACTCATCCACGTAAGATGAGGATCCCTCCTGACGCCCCTGGTTAAAATATAAATCAAAATTCGTATTCTGGTTTATTTACTGATTCATTTGAATAGTTTTTGTTAAAAGTGTCACCTTCCAAAAGGTAATCTGTAAACTATTAGCTCACGTGATCTCTAGGTTTCGAAAGAATGTCACAGAACACGGTAAAAGTTGTCAAAAGATAGTACAGTTGTTGTAGGCAACAACTATTGCCTTTTATCAACCCCTCTTCTTGATGCTTTAAGGTATTTAGGGAGCTAGAGGGGGATTATTACCGTGTTTAGAAACTATTTGAGGTCATGTTGAGTGTTGTCGAAAGCCTACCAAAGTGACGAGAGCTTTCAGTTTCTCCTCAAGGGCCTCACGTTTCCTGCATTCCTTTATGTATCTGTGTTTCCACAGGGCGACATTGCCCCACGCCACCTTGACTGATTCCTCCAATTTCTCGATTGTTGGATTCTGGCAAAGAAAAAAGTCGAGTCAGTTTTTTGGCATGGTTACCATCTTTGCACCTTGGTGCCCTGCTCCTGGGCGCACAATTAATATAAGGTTGTGTCCAAACATTTGGGTGCCGCATCATCTCCAGGGGGGATACGAGCGCCATATTACCACACAACTTATTTGTCGAGATTCATTCAAGCTAGTTCAAGGGTGACCGGTTTGTGAAATGACCTCGCAATTCGTATAAATCTGGCTTTTCACAAGCCTCGATGTGATGATTAGCGATGAAAATCCGCTAGAAAGTTTTGTTTGTAAAATTGGCCTGAGTGGAGAGTGCCAAAACGCGTGATCATGACTGACTGGAAAAATAGCTCATGGTGGTTGCTTAATAATGATGAAATGGACGCCAAAGTAGCGTACGCCGAGTGCTCTTCGCTCTCCACATTCCCACGTAATTTTTAAAAAAAAAGGTGTGGGAAGATTGACACTAAAGTCTGTAATGGTTTGGTTTTTGTTTAAATTTGCGACTCTGGTCATGTACACATTCTCTGTCCCTTCTGTGTGTCAACGATAAACCTTCTGCCATAGAGACAGGGACTATTACGACTTCGAAGAAGTCTCAGGGCATTGAATTTGTGGTAGCGGTAGGCAAACCCGATCCAAATGACTAATAATCCTACTTTCGTCGGCTATCTACCAAATGAAGACGTAGCAGAAGAAAGATCTCCGGTGTGGATGGGTAGAACTGTGAAGGTTCACCACAGAAGGTTTAAAACGGTAGCTGATTGTAGCGGATCCTCTAATTCACGTCTTACACAATAAGTGGAGATGCAGCAAAGTAGGTTTTTAGGGGGGTACAACTGACCTCAAGGAAGGGTCCACTGCACCTCCCTGATTGGCCTTGACTATGAAGACGAAATGATACACTGAACAATTGTCCATTGCCGCCTTAAGCTTCTTACTGGGAAAGAAATCGAGGTAATCAGTTAGTATCTGTAGTCCATGTCCGAAGCGAGTCTTTGGTGACAGCCTTTGTTAAGTTGAAGCGTCCCTTCCAGAATTGTTAACGAAATTTTAATGTTATTTGTGAGGACACCTTCAATACGATTCAGCCGGTGAAATCTTCGTGCAGTTTTTATTGCTGTACTGCAATGTAAACTGGAAGGCGCCACCTGCAGCTGGAAATGTCATGCACCTGAACAACTTCTACAGGCTCTTTAAGAAGGCGGATGGCATTGCGAGACAGATGAAGCGGTGAATGCTCTGTCACGATCGCATCAGATACAGTAACCGCGAACTGGCGAGGCAAGTGTACCGCAATATCCCTCACAGAGCAAGCCCGATGACTACACTTTGTCAGCTAAAGGTTCTTTGCGCCTTGAAGGGAAGAATGGAAGGTAATGTACGCGAGAGGCCAATTCATGAGAACTTGAGGAGTTATGGAGGTGACACTTGAGCGTTCATTTCGATGTCTCTTAGACAGTTCTCCTTTCGGAATAGTAAACTTGCATCTAGACAGGCATACCATCAGCGTTCAACTAAATCCGAAGGACTGGAGCAATAATATTGGTGTTTGTGTAGGAACTTTTACAAGAATTCTCGAAGTGGATTCAATAGTGCCCATTTTTAGGATCTGTCACTGATACTTACAAATGCTTTGAATTTTCATACGAAAGTTAGCAAATTGGTAGTCATACAGAGCACCGAATGAAGTAGATAGAAAGAAGGGAGCTTCCCACGGGGTCATGCAAAAAGTGTGCTACTGCCGTCAGTGACAATCGACATGAAGGTACGGATGGAGTATCTGCGACATTGCCTCGAAAATACCTCACCAAGAGGGTCCCTTCAAGATCACACTCCTCTATGTGGACTCCACCCCTCTTGTCATACATCTACTCAAATTTAATGAGGATGGACTAAAGGACTCAAAGCCAAAATGGCTGCCTACCTTCAGACCAGGAGAGTCATCCTACGTCTACTTCATTGTCTCAAGCCTAGCCAAATTGTTTGGGACACGATTGGGTACAATTGGATATTATAAACAGGTGAAAGCGTTATATTTGTGTATAATACATTGATTGTTTGCTTAACTCTCTGCTTTGGTAATGGGGCCACTTGGGGCCTCTGCTGTTGTACCCTTACCGGGCAGCCTGACCTTCGGGCCATGCCAGTAGCCACCAGACCTTCTGCCAATCGTCAACACATATTCTGCCCAAGCAGTATCTCCTTTCTTTTACTAGAAAAGTCTCGAGGCGCTATGGTTGGATGTTATACCTCAGCGGGAAGGCAGAAGTGCATGTGCAGTGGATGGGGAAATCGGCGTCGACCCAGTAAGGAGGGCAAAAACGATGTCCACCTTGGGTAATGCTCCACTTCTGTGTTCTGCAGGAATGCTAGTAATGACTGAAGCGACACTAGTCTTGAACCATCTGGGATAGTTTGTTAAGCAGCTGTCTATGGTGCCTGTATGAGGATGTCAATGAAGTGAACACACGACGCCTCCTCTTTCACCCCTCTTTTAGCTGGATAGGGTTCAGAGGGCTATGGCCGGGCAGGAGTGAAGTGAGAAAAAAGTGAAAAGGAAACGGATGTGAAACCTTATACCCAAAGAACTATGTTAAATTTTCTTCATTCTTTATATGACTATAATTTTAGGTCAGTGTTCCTAAGACTAGCCATGAACGTCCGTGGTGGCTAGCACATTTCCCCTTCCTCCATTATATTTCCCAAACAGGACATAACTCCAGATCCGGTGGAATTACGAAGAGGGTCAGTAACGCTGTGGTCGACTATCTTCTCAGTTGGACGAAAATTCGATGATCAGTACGGGTGGCACGTGGATGCTATTTTCTTACAGCACCGACTACGCTGTGATGACCAACGCGAAGAATTGACCAAGGGGCGCACCGGAGAGGAGGTCTATGTAATGATTTACTTGTATATTTAACTCTCAGTTTTAATGACGGGCCGCTTAGAGGCTCCACCTTTGCACCTCCACCGCACAGCCTAACCTCCGGACCATGCCAGTGATACCCATCCCTCAGACCAAATGTACGTCGACAGTACATATTGCATTCGAGTAGTGTGTCTTCCTTCTTCTTCAGGACAGCCTAGAGGCGCGATGGTAAATTTTATAAAATGTCTTGTTTGCCTTAATACAAATGAGGTAACAGAACTGCTAATTTGTTTTGGAAAATAAAGATGGGCCTCATGTGATACCGAAGTATCAAATTTAAGTACGGGAGTTTGTTTTATAGAGCTCATCTCTCAAAAGTTGATGAAAATATGTTTTGATTATATTTTTTAACCATAGGGAGCATAGTCCCGAATAAAATTGTATTTTATGAAGCTCGACCAACTTAAACTAATTTAGGTTGCTCTGAGATAAAATAATTAAAGTACTAGGATCTTGAAATGCAATAATCAGAAACAGTGTAGGAAATGTGATACTACTGTAAGCATAGCCAACCTACATGCCAATCCTTTCTTGAAATACCATGCTTAATTCATTGAAAAAAATTAGAGTGATTTGGGAAGCGGAAAGAGAGTAGTTTACATCCTGTTCTTAATTTACCTTCTTACCATCGTATGAATTACTGCGAGTAATAGAACTGCCACCCAGTGCAAATTAATCGCGTCTAATCAATAAATCATTGTGTGTTTTATTTGAATTCTGCACTTGTCAATAGTAAAGCACTGCGTATCAAGTTTTATTCATCTGTAAACCAGACAAAGGCAATTTTATCCTAGTGTCATTAGATCGCTCTCTAGCAAACTTCACACACGATATGCTGTGGGTGTGTTTCACGAAGCAACGGAGGATTCCGACTGTATCTGTGCTCCAAATCATAGTAATTCGAGTAATTTACGTTTATTCTTATAGAAAATTGTAGTCATTAATCTACAATAGTAGATTTAAGCTTTTTCCTCACGGCGTTGGGCGGCTCTGCTTATTGGATGAATTGAAATGCTTATGACGTCATTCCCCTAAATACAATTACAAAGCAGCGGCACCCATATTGTGATGCTTTAGTAGTTTGCCAAGACCTATGCTTTGCGCTTACACGCATCGGCTTGGTCTCTGGGCCATGCCAGTGGCCTCTCAGACCTTTTGTATACCAGTAACACATTTTTCTCAATAGTTCTACGTGTTCTTATAGCTTAGAGCAATACTACTTATCTAATCGTCAGGCGAGTAATAATTTTCCACAAATGGTCATTTTACGAGGTTTTACAGTACCTTCAGTAATTTTGCGATTTGCCATGTTCAAAAAACAAGTTCAAAATTTAAAAAATCTGCTTTTTTGCGCTGCTAACAGAAGATAGTCCTGCAGAGTAGAAATTCGTGGCCCCGTTTTCTATCAGTTAAAAAGGTTATGATTTCCGTTTTTTTGCACTGACCTCCGTTTTACATTTTAAAAAAGACTTCTCACACTGTGAGACCGACAAAATTAATAGCATGCAGGTTTGCTAAGAAAGCTACAGCATGCTAAGGCTTGGTATTTTTCTGTACAAAGTTGTGTCTAGTGACCGCGGCATAAACGCGCGCTACTTGATGGTGGTGGTTACTGTCGTCCTGCACATTGCGAATCCCAATGGACTATCTGCAAAATTGGGAACCCATAGAAACCTTTCTTGTAATGTACAAAAGAAGTAATCTGCCTAAATATACATTAGTCCAGATGATGTGTTTGGTTGCATAGCTGCATGGATTTCACAAATACCGTTGATAATAGGTTTCTCAGTCCTGTGCCTCGTGTTTTTTCATCGTGATTTGCACACGGTAAGGTTCTTGACATCAATCCCGATTTTCAGATTTTTTATGCAGTCGGGATGCTTGCAAATGAGGTGATATGCAAGGTTTCCAAGAAAATAATTCGGATTCCGCGTCCCCCCACCCATCGTAATGACTTATTTCTTTTTAATCCTTTTTTAGCGAAGTCTCTAGTTTCCTCATATGGAATGCCGTCTAATCACGCGACATTTATGTTCTTTATGATGGCCTATTTTTCTCTTTTTATAAAATACCGGCTTTCTCCGCGTCATTATTCCTTTTTTGCTCGACGCTTTATCGTTTCCCTTTTGTTTCTAATGTCAGTGATCACGTGCTATACAAGGTAGGAACCATGTAGTTGCTACGTTGCAAGAGTATATCTTGAGTTTCATTACGTCAACCAGGTTTGCGTTGGGGCTCTCGTCGGGTCGGTTCTGGGCTGTTTATGGTTTTACATTGTTCACGTCATATTGACCCCCCGTTTCCCTCGGATTGTTGAAAGGTAAATTAGTGCATGTATCACTTTGAGCACCCACCCTTTACCCTAATCGAGTTGCTTTACTTTTCAGCAAAATTGGAAGGGCGCTCATGTTGCAAGACTTCACCCATATTCCGAATATTTTAAAATTTGAATACAATGCTGTGAAGACGTTCCACTCTCAGTGAGTGTTCATAACTTCGCTTAGATGTAGTGTTTTTTAGTGGCTTTTTCTGTCATTTTGCATTCTTTACTCGAACATTGTTTGACCTTTCGTGCTACTCTTGTTTGTTGATTCTTCCCTGTATGGTGCAGAATCTGTTTGCTTGTAAACAATTTCAGATTGTTTGATCCAATTTCGAATTATCGTCCATGGCTTCGAGAATCGCTTTATTTTCTGCACCTATGCGCTGTTTTGTCGTAAATTAAATTAGAGTTTTCATTATTTCAGGTCGAGAACTAGCCGTAAAGGTTCATAGTGAGGTATTTTTTCCTTAAAGAATCCTATTTATACTAATGTACCCATTGATTTCTTCATTCTGACTCAGTTGAACAATTCCATGAAATTTGATGTTTTGCGTTCCTTTAGCTTCCACTTTTATGTGATTTCCCTTAAACCTGTTGAAATTTGCTTCACGGCAATGGCTATACAAAATATGATCTGTATTGTGTTGACCTTATTTATCCCATGGCTATGTTAACATCATTATCTGCAAACCCTACTGAAGAGTGCGCGTGGTGTTGGCATGTGTATTGTAACTCGGGCCCAATGGCTCAGCACCTTGACGCTTCTAATCTTGTTGCAGTTTGGCTGCATAACTGCACTCAGCACTGCAATATGTCCACCTTAGTTGATTAGCTAACCATGTTGCCTTAGGTCATGCAATTAGTGTGGATGCAACCGGTAGGCTACTGACGCCTGTCTTCGAAAGTCAGATGCAATTGAATGGTTGGTGCCACGTCGAATGTAGGGGGACGAACACTCATCGCCATCTTGGGTGCTGCGTTTACGGCTGTGAAATCTCAGGAATAAGCGCCCATCTCTGTTATAGAGATTCCGAGGCTATGGTGGTGCAATTCGAGTAGAGCAGCCATAACTTGTAGAGCAAAATGGGTTTGCTAAGTGCATGAGTTCTCGAGGGTCTCCGGATAAGTGCTCCTCCTGGTGTCCTTCCGGATGACGTGTGACTAGAGCCGATTTAAAGGCCTGCTGATTTAGCGCAGTTAAGGGCAGCTCACGTTCGCGAAAGTACGCCAAACTGGCTTTTCATGAGTCGGCTGTGACGGGCCTATGCTTCCTAGTCCAAAGTGTCGTGCAGATTTGACGCCCCCCAAATATGGTGAGGTGTAGCGTAGTTTGCTCCTTTGATACAAGAACTAAGTGAGTGATCCCCAATAGCATTGGAACCGTAACAACTACACCCCATGCCAAGGTTCGAAGTGTCTCTCAGTTTGGTTGCTCTAAGGTATTCACCTGTAGCAATTTCGATGTTCCTTCCTCTTGCCGTCTTAATATCCTCGGGTAGGAGAAACTGACTGGAGGGAAACGATGCAAATTATAACGATTTTTTGGTTTTTGCGGATAGTAAAGCCATAAAAAAAAGCCGGCTTACCTCCTTGAGGACCACTGGCGACTCGATCACGAGGTGAAGCCAGTCCGGCCTCTACCGTGGGGCAAATTGGGTCAGGTGGTCAGCAGTTGGTAACTTGGTGCCCAAGATGTGCATTAGTTTTTACAAAGCACTGGTAGATTGCTTGCTATGAGTTGGGATATTTGCAAATGTTTGGTCAATTATTATCCGATTTTTTAAAAAATCACAGTCAATAAACAATGCCCAACAAAATTTTGTCCCGTTTTAAGGTCAAAAATTTAAAAAATTTTACGACATTAGGTTTTAAAATAAAGCATATAAAGATCTAAGTAAATTATTACCTGAAAACTGCTTTGCATTAAAGATTACTAAGCAGCTACACTGAAGGTTCATTGGTTTTACGGGGGGTTGGTCTAGAGCCGTATGGGTCACTCGTTTTGCGGCGTCGGTGTGCTGCGTTTTCGTGTCTGGTTCTACGTATTTGTAATAGAACTTTTTAACAGGTGCACAACAGCTTCATTTAAAATCCTGAAATTTTTGTTCATTTTTTTGACGTTCTACACGTACTAAATTCTACGCGCAATCACGAGGATTAGTCATAGTTGGTTTGATTATTTGTCTTCCGTATTTTACATTTGAAGTGGCATTGCTTGCAACTCCTAGGATTCTAAGTTCTTTTAAGTGCTTTTTATCGGGTGTTTCGTGGGACTTGAGTTTTTGTATAGTCGCGAAATATTTTTCTTCAGGTTAGTAGCTACAGAGTTGTTTTTCGTTTAGTCGTTTAATAATATTAGTAATTGTTATAACTACTTTCAGTCAGTGGTCACTACTTCTCTACTAGTAAACACAAGTTTCTGATGCGTTATAAATTTTGTCTCAGATGCATGTTTTCATGTTCAATGTAATTAAGCTTTATTTTGATAATCCTTTCGGATAAAATTGTATTCCCGCTAATGTGTCTGATCTTGCTTATTTGTAGTTTTTATATGCAATGTTCTCTGGTGTGGACCTCCCCGATGAATCCTCACCCTTCCCCTTCGGTGATCTTGTTGGTGTTGTGGACGATGCAGACTTTAGTAAGTTTATCAGATCCTGGGCTTAATTTCCTCGTTAGATTTGGATCTTGGCCCACAGGATATGTTTCAAGACCCGAACGTTGATTTCTGCCTATTTGGCATGCCCGATGCGGTTCTACCCGAACCTACTGTCGATACTTCTGATAGCGACAGTGGTATTAGCAGTAAGTTTTGGGTACTGGAAGCATTCTTTTAAAATACGGCACTGATTCTATATTATTGCTTTTTCAGACCATGGTGACAAGCTCCAGTCGCTCCTTTGCGACATCAAGCAAGGTAGTTTTGACCTTCCCGACTTGGGTGCTTCGACTAGCGTACAACTCCCTCCAGTAACGGAGGTTGCTAGTATTACCGGCGCCGAAGCCACGGTCTGTAAGACCCTCTCCTCACAGCTGAAACGTCCAAGACCATTTGAACCACTTATCATTGGGTCTCGCGACCCCACCGCGCCATCCACCCCCGCCTCGCTCACTCGTACCTTCCCCCATGGCACTGCTCTTGTCAAACCTGAACTCTCTGGGTGCACTTGTACGTTTGCTAAGGATCTTAAAAGATCTCAGTCTTGTAGGAGCTTTATTGTGGAAGTCTTGGTATTGGTTAACTTCAAACTTACTGAGCAATTTAATTGCATCGCATTTCAGGCCCAAATCTAGCGGTACATGACGTTTTGTTTATTCAACTCTCTGGGCAACGTCACTGAGCTGGAGTTGTGCTGATCGATTGTTTTAAATAGATATTACGGCCCTAGATTTTTTTTGTTGTCGCTCCTGTAAATAGTATTTGGGGTCATAATCCCGATTTGGGGTGTTTATAACTATTTAAGCTGGATGTTTTTGTGGTTTTTTGTGTCCCTTACAGCTACCTTTCGCCAAATTCCAGCCTCGAACCACGTCTCGCCCAAAATCCCTCGTATACTTTCACGTGGGCAAAATGTGAGTTTCCCCTCTTTACCTAGGATTTTAACAAATGCTTCTGGAATTTGAGCGCATCATTTCAAGTTGAATGTATTGTGGCTTTGGGAATGTTCTTATTTCGGTAAATTAACTGGTTTTTTGATAAAATAGGGCATCGCAAAACCTGTAACTTTTGGGCATGTATGGTGAGGTCATAGAAACTGCATTTGTCTGACCCGCTTGAATTTTTCCGGTGGACTTCTAGCAAACACTGGTCAAAAGTAGAAGTGCGCCTTGAAGCCATATCTTCTAACCGTATCTTTTATTCGATGCACTAACAACGCAATGTCTTGCTTCATAGACGATGCATACCTACTTAGAACACTATTAGGGCAATCATTGCTTTTCATGATATATCCTGTGGCAGGTTCAACAGAGCATAGTGTATTTCACGCCTCTATAGAGCTTTCATTAGGCAGTGTGAATTCACCCTTTGGTAGGAGTGTGGGTTTTCTCGCTTAGTGTAGATTAAAGAAATGTTATGGGAATTTGGTCGTAATTCCTAGTTTTATCAGTATGATTTTTGCCTGTAACTGTTCACCTAGTACGAGTGTTGGCATACTATAAAAAGTGCCTTAAATATTAGAATTTCCAAGTCCAAATGCGTTGGAGATTCACAATTCTGTGTCACACCGAATATTTTTTGCTCTGATCTCTTGCAGGTTGTATTCTTACACAACCTGACTTTCACAGCCAATGTGTTTATCTATAGTAAAATATTGGCCAAGTAGCCCTCGTTTCTTAGGACATTTTGTGCAGTTTGCTCAACAATTACGTGGCAGGTCAGCTTTTGTTGCATAGGAGATACGTTTTTACGTTTTTTGTTCCAGTTATACATTTTCACACGATCCGCTACTGCAAACAAGGTAGGGATAAGTGCTGCAGTATGTAGGATTTTTGGGGTCTATGTGGTGAGTTCCCATGAAAGGAATATTCATTTGTCCCATTTCTTACTACCAGTTCAGGGATAATTCAATCATTTTACCCATACCATTCAAGTACTTATCTTCATGCTCTCCTACTGTATTCGACGCGCAAGCAGTTTGAACCTATTTAAGCAACCAACGCTCATTTTTAAAATATACTTTTTAAAAACAACTGATAATGCGCTAGAAAAAAAGGGCGTAAAATCCAAAGTTCCTTGTTGCGTTTAATGAGTCGTTTATGCTCTCACTCTAACAGGGCACTGGCAGAACCACGGCACCTTCGACGCGAGCAGCCTGTGGTCTCCAGCCTGGCGGCTACAACACTACTTCTTCCCGTGAACAGGAACACCACACTGCCCTGGTTCCCGCTGTGGTCAGCCTTCCAGTGATCGACGAGTTCACTTTCTCCAATTCCTTCCAGGTCATCTCACCCCCAACGGAGTCAGAGAGTTTTGAGAAGTTGGTCAAAAAGCAGGAGCGAATGATCAAAAATCGCCAGGCTGCTTGCCTTAGCCGGTTAAGGAAGAAGGAGGTACATCGCCATTCAACCCTCTCTTTCAGCCTTTCTTTCTTCTATTCTTCAGTGGTGTATCTTTTACAATATGGACGTTGATAAGTGCACTTAGTTAAAATAACCCATTGAAGAATGTGATGCCTATCGTTTCAAAGTATAAACCCTTCAAAAAAGAAATAAGTTTCTGGGAGAATATTGTAGAACGGCGCTATTTGTTCAGTCCAATGTGGTTAGGCTCTTTGCGACACCTGTACTCGTTACATGGATCAACTTTGCAGTGTGTACTCATGCATATGTGTGCATATATGATGCGTCTTTCCTTTTGGGTCACGTTTAGGACTCAGCTCTTGCTAATTTTGCTGCTGTGAATTACGTGGACTCATCTCACTTGACCCCTCTGTTGCGCGTTGATTCATGTGTCTAGGAGCTAAAATTGCGTGCGCACTTTGGATCTTCTTGTTCTGATCCACCGAGAATATTTTTTTCTTGGGGCTTAATGCCACCGCAAGTTTACCTACTAGTGGTCGGCATGCCACGCTCAACGTGGGCGTGATTTCAACCACCTCTAATGACTTATTTACCCTCTTTGTAGTATTTAGAACGTTTGGAGCATAGACTTGACCAACTACGACAGGAGAATGCTCATCTACGACAGGAGAATAATGAGTGGCGACATCGTTATGATCACCTTGAAAGGTGCCTTGGTGACTTGCAAGTGGGTATTCATTCGCAAACTGTCTATCCTGGGTGCAAGTTCCACTAATGGTCTCTCACTATTTTCACCCCAGGCGGAGTTCGCCAGCCTGCGTCGTTCATCTGACACAAGCGTAGGAGGAGTAGGGCTGTCACCGATTGCTTCTCCCTCCCCTCCACCCCCCGCCTGCTCCTCCTCCTCACCTTCACTCCCTCAGCATCACTCTCCGCCACTACTTCAACGACCCCTTTTGGCCTCCACCACGGCTTCTCAACTCGGCGGTGTGTTGTTTGGTTCTCCTGTTTTCACCGACATTGTTATCTAGAGCTTATCACATCTTATCGCAAGAGCACTACTGTAGGACTCGAAAATTGGCGTGTTCTCATTGAAGGCGCAAATTGTAACATTAATGGTGTTTCGACTTGTAAGAAAAGGAGAGCAGCGAAATTCGTTGGGGCCTAGCCTAGTAAAAAGAGGAACTATACACCGGACTGTTTTTCTTAAGCATTAATCTGGGTTAGTATTCATCTAATTTGTTCCCATCTTTAGCGTCACTAGAATTGGTTATGAGATGTTCTATTATTTACATTTTCCAATTGAAATGCCAGGGCTGTCAGGTTAGAGGAAAATGCGATAATGTTTCCGCTTTCGACCAGTTGAAATGGCCGCTAAGAAGTAACTCCGGTTTGGATACTTCGAACACTGGTTATCTAAAGGTGGCTACTACACGCGCCTTAAATTAGGGCAAACCAGAAGATTGACTATAATCTATCGCGAAACTTGAACAACCTATCGACTTTAGCATAGTCGGAAATATCGGCCAATTCTTTCCCATAACAAAAGAGGTCATCTTCAACCCTAAGCATTTGTAGGTATTTCCCATAATTGCAATCTGGCCTGTGCCCAATGAACCAATAGTCAAGTTATTACCGCCCAGTACTTTCTGTGGCAAACCTCTTTTGTGTTATCACGGTACTATTTGGGAAGTGTCTGAGATTTAGCTCATTTTCTGTATTGTGAGTGTGTGCTTAATATTTGGTTTACTGTGTAAGTGAATGTGGGTTACGTAAAATGAATGCAAAATCTCTATCTTTTAGAAGCTACAGAGCTCCTCTGACCGCTCTTATCTCCTCTTTCAATAGTCGTTAGCAAAGTGCCGCTTCTACGAAAGCAGGACGCTGAGCGAACAGTACTACAGAAGTCTGGTCATGGTGGTGATATTCTAGGCAGCAATCGCGTGATCGGTGGAGTGGGTTTGCCCCGCGGTGTGCGCAAAAAGGTCACCACCAGCCTCTTCGCAGTGGTCTGTCTCTTTCTCATGAACTTCTGCCTCACACCTCTCGGTCAACTGGGTGGCACTCTGACGACAACCTTCAGTGGATCCAAAAACTTGGGCGTCGTATCCTCCAATGGTTAGCTGGTGGTCATTAAATGCAAAATGTTTGTTTTCTAGTTGCATTTTGCCCCTGACCGATTGGTGTCACCTTTGCTGGCGTCATGCTGGATACAAGTAAGTCTGGAAGGCGGAATGGTAATGATAAAATCGTGAAAGCTGTTTGTGGCAACTGTTTTATGAGGCTGTGGTAGTGTAAGCCAAAAGTGCAATTACCTATGCAGCAAAGCAATAGGCTACTTTCCTGTGATGTCGTATAATTGGTACGGGGAAGTCTCTCCAGGCTTGTATGCGTATGGTAACGGGGTAGTTCCCACACGTCAAACCCCTTTCTTACCAGTTTGCACAAGTTTTAAGATGCAATCGCTCTCGCTTTGGTTGCTTTCACCTCATCACCCCCCGTAGTACGTAGCTCATCTTTCATCATGATTAAAATCATCTGCGGTGATGGAACCCCTCAAACCCTTTCCTATGTTTTCGCATAAAGTTGTCCTCAAAAGAAAATTTTAAAGGTAGTAAATAGCAGTGCTCCCCTGTCATGAACTGGGTCGCCAATTTTATGACTTGGAGTTTCTATGACCCAAGTTGTCTGGGTTCTACCGTGACCTCCAACCGGATAACTTATAGCTACACTTCAGAGAGGATACCCTTGCTGACTGGGACAATGAGTAAGCAAAGGAGGTACAGCTAACGTGTACGTCTCTGATAGCTATATAGCAGAGGGAATGTCGGAGACTGAGACCGTGACTGGGTGATTTCGACAGCGTGTATCTACAGCAACTGAATAACTGATATTCAAGCAGTTGTCGGTAGTACAGTTAGAGCACATCCCCACTGGATTTGGCGCAATCAGGCAGGATTGAGAGTACGGGCCTCTAGAATTTCCAGCGATTGGTCATTCTTTGGAACTTCTAGAAAGTTGAACGTGAATGCAGTCCTGGGGTTGCAGGTGGCGCCAACAACCCCAGACAGGCTGAAAACGAGGAATATTTTATTGCAGCTAACCGTATTTAGCTAGCCACTTCTGTCAATAAACTAATGACTTTCTAAGCTTTTTTGGCCTGACAAATAAAGTCCACTTTCAGTAGAATTAGTTTTCTTTGCCTGAATCAGGCATTTCCTTCGGGTTACAGGAAAGCAGTAATAGTTTCTCTTCAGTTTTTGACTTTGTTTGTATTTCAAGCTCAAATCGAAATTGTGTTCTGACTCGACGTAAACACGAAGCTGTAGAAAATAAACGTTGACATTTTTTATTAAAGCCTTATTCAGGGAATTTCATGTTGCAAAGTACAGATTGATTAATCGGTAGGTGAGTAACGCTGCCCATGGACTGTGCCAGTATTCTTGCAAAAATTCAAACTCCATTGTATAGCCAATCACCTTCTACTTTATTTAGACTACGATGGCATTTTCCCGAAGGTCCCACTTGGTGGAAGGATCCTTCTGTCCACCTCCTCGGTGCAAGACGTTGTGGGAGCTGTTCAGTCGTCGAAAAACCGAACGAGTGCTCCTCGTCTCGTTGGCAGTAGTGTCCGTTCGACGGTCAATACGGCATCCAACGAGGAAGGGGAGGTGGTAGGTGGTCAAAAAGTCAATTCGTCTTGTTGGTGTATTTTTTACAGGGGTCACTGTTAACTCAGAATATCGAACTAGTGCTCGGAAATCAGATGTGTGTCGCTTTAAAAAAGCCAATAATGCTTATCTTTCTCTTCCGGAGCCATGGATTTAGATTCATATCGAGCCACGACTTAGTCGCCCACTGCTTTTTCGCGGTTGCATGCTAATCGGATTTTACTCTTCACTTCAATGGCATTAACACAAAATACGCCGTCAAAGATGTTTGCAGTTTGTGAAGCAATTTCTTAATCTGATGATATGTATCTACCGCCCAGTGTATTTAACGTAGTTGGCTTTGCTGTTCCTCCTGTTTTTAAATAAGAAAACCAAGATTCTGATTAGGAAAGGTCATGGAAGTTCTATGATCAGGGAAATCCTGAAAGACGCTGAAAACGAAAGAGCTGTGTGATATAATGGTATCTAAACTTCAACTATTAGCCAATAGGTTACAGAACAACTTTGATTCTTGTTTTCTATTTTGTTCCACATTAATTCTATGTCTGCTGGTGCTTTGCATGCTACTTGAAGAGGGTAGTTCAACAAGATGGGCTGCATCCATGGGTTTCGTTAGAACCTTGCTTGTCATTTCAGCCTAATTTTGTCTTACACCTTAAGACTGCTTGAGAGGAGAAGCACAGTCCAATGCTGTAGTGTAATCCATTTATTTATGCTAGGCGACTAACCGTTACCGTTTACTTGGTACGAGACAGGCCAAGTGCGTGCAGCAGTGAGTCACTTGCTGCCTTTCATTCAAGTGCCGACGTGCTGTGAATAAACACCGCGAGACCTCTCTCTACATCCTTTCTCACTGTTTGCCTTTAATATCTAGTGTCAGGCTTAAATCCTGCAGCAGTTTAAATACCCCCTCTTAGTTCTTCCGCACATGAAATTCTCGGTCTCCCGTACCTAGTTTGACTAACATCTCTGCTACACCTTTTTGATTTGGCTTATTTTATAAATCCGAGCTTTGAGCAACTCTTTGTGAAATTCATTAGTTTTTTTTAGCTGTAAAATCCTTCACGAAAAGATTTATAACCTCTGCAGCAAATGGTGTGTCAATGGTTTGAGTGAGAAGGAAGGACCCTTCTGTCAGTTGATCATAGTTTTGCAGAAGAATCAGCCCTGTGTGGTACTTAAGGCAAGAACATGCCTAATGGTAAATAGTTGAAAGTAGTTGGAGTGAAAACGGTGTACGCATCTCAAAATAAACATGGACTAGCAGGGACAGCGTTAGACTGTTTCCGTTAGGCTGTTTCCGCCTAGGTAATACACTTGTGTGCAAATGTTAGGGTCAGTCGCCAACCGAGCACTGGCTCAGTATACTTTTTGGCCATAATTGGCCATCTTCCGCGCTCAATGATGTCTTAAAAACTGAAAATGCCTATCTCCTCGCTTCTCAAAGGTGTGGATAGTGTTTGATGAGATCGACAAGAGCATTGATTGGCCGGTCTTCGAGCGTCGAAAACGATTGGCGCACTATCGCCACGGTCAGGCCGAAGCCGAACCACCCCTCAAGTGGCACGTGACCAGGACCAATCGATTCGGTCGTGCCCAACGTCGACGACTGCATGTACGTGGGAAGAAATGTTAACTGTAGCTGTTTTTGTTATTGTGATGATGTTGGGTCTATTATCATTTTGTATTTTTTAATCTTACTCTAAATATACTGGCCGTGTGAATTGATTACCATACACTTGATGTTGAAAGATCGTTTACTTGCATTTCACTTCCGTAATTTTGTCGTCGTATTAGCTGCGCCTTGTTAGACAGACATATTTGTGCTTTTGTGGACATGTTGCAACAGGAATCTAGCTCCGTGCAGGCCACCATGACTATTTGTTTTAGCTAAAGTGCATGGTTGATTATAGTTTTTTTTTTAAATTCTTATCTGAGGTACGGAGGTATATGAGTATCCATGTAGGAGGTGAATGCTTGGACCTCTAACTTTACACCAGCCCAGAAAAGAACAATTTTTATATTGCAAGCTGTATTTATTTCCCCATGTAGTCCCCTACTCCAGTTGTATGCTTATCACAGCGTCCAACTAAACTTTCGGGAGCTTCGTTTTAGATTTGTCTCCATGACTAAACCATCCTAGGTCGACCTGTTTCACTTCGCCCTGGTACCTGGTAGGCACTAATTTTTAGAAATTTCACAGTTTTGTGGATGATTGTGTTGTGTTCACTGTTCCTGCAAGTATTGCACCCGCTGAATGTTCACAGGAATAAGTGCTATGGGTTGGGAAACCGCCAAGGCCAGGATCGTCACTGATAGATCCAATACACTCCTTAAAACCTTTAGCACTGCTTGTTGTGCCACCAGAGTAGTGTCCCTCTGATGTTTCAGTGGTAGTGATTCTGACGCCCTCGAATTTTGGATTAATTTGATTTTTGCTCTACCCAACGAAATATTTCCTCGACCATTCTCATGTTCTTTGCTGATATCGGTATTGTGGGTGACTTCGTGCCATCCATTGCTTTTTGGTGCTCATCGGAATCTACTTAACAAGCAGGTAGACTTTGAAATGTTTGAATTCGTATTTACCCTTCTCTGGATTGCACTCTACGGTGTATCTGGGAATGGAATTTCTTGATAGCTTAACCTGAAACGTAATTCTGTACAGTGTCAGATTGATCTCGTGTGTTATTTATTTTAGAAAGCCTATTTGGTCCGACCCTTGCAGGGCGAGAGTATGGCTGGTTGGAGTGAAGATAACCTTCCCGACTCGCTCTACCTGTTTGGTCGATCGACATCCTCCAATTTGACCATTTTTTTGCGCAATGAAGCGTTGGCACCTCATCTGTGTAAGCTATGCTTTTCTTTGTCTCCCACAGACAAGTAGTCTGGATTTGTGGCTAGTGGATGGAGGCAAGAGGGGATTCTCAATTCCCGGTTATGGTACTCCTTTTTGTTTGTAATCTCACAAGCACACGTGCACACTCATTTACATACACACCCACACCTTTGTTGACTTTCAAGAGCTTATTCGCGAATTTAGGTGGCCTTTTCAAACAATTTATCCGCTGCCTCACATGCTCACCTTCCTGGCCGCTAGCTCATGTATGCAGGTGTTTCTGAAATGCATTGCTCTGCTACGTTAAAAACACACTCCTCCTACTCCAATCAGCCGTCTGGTGGGGGAAACTTTTCGTCAAGGACTGCTTGATTGCTGACAGCCTTCTAATTTCCGCTCTGCTGTTTATCATGCATATAGAAGGTCGAATTCTTAACTAAGCTCATGGTTTTGGGATTTGATGGACTCCTAGCTTTACGTAGAAGATTACATAGTGCAAAGGACTTCTTAAAGTGTGGAAAAGGTTACTGAATTTGCGTACCCTAGCCACCATATTCAGATTCAAACAAGTGATTTTTGAACGGTATATCTTGCCGTTGACTTTGTTTTCTTTTTATCTTAAAATTGGCTCCCGTCCAGCATACGATTGTGTTCAAAATTATCCCAATTTCAAGGAATAAAAGCGGTACTCGAGTTTTCAAGTTTCACAGCTTCAGGATGAGCGGTTTTTGATGGTTATCAAGTTTTCTTTCATGGCATGAAGAGGAATCCGCTGTGCTGCAACCGGAACTTCATTTAGCGCTCATGTGGTTAATCTTGCTTTGTTACTATCATAACTGGTATGTTGACAATAACATTGGCGGTCAAAGCAATTAGAAGTTCACCAAAACTAGTCAACGTGTGTTGTACACTTGATGGTAAGACCCTAGGAAAGAAATCCACAAAAGGTGGTGAAGTTGATAATCAGAAGTAGAATTAGACCGAAGGGGGCCGAGGTCGGTAGAAGAAAAAAATGAGGTGTGTTTGTTTCTCTCTTTACGCCAAAACGCGTTCTTATCTCCTTTCCCTAGCATCAGAGGAGGCGAATGCTACTGACAAAAACCTCCGCCTCTGCAAGTTACAAGTCCAAATATCCAGTTTGAAGGATCTACGACGTCGACGGAAGGTGTGAGTCGCATTCTACCTGCCCCTCTCCCCATCGTCATTGAAACGCCTGCCTTCTCATTTATTTTTAAATGTCTACGGGATTGTATAGCCCTTTTCAAAAACCGTTCACCCACCACCCCCACTTTCCCTCGCTCACCCCTTGTGTGTGTGTGTGTATGTGTGTGTATGTATGTATGTATGTATGTATGTATGTATGTGTGTGTGTGTGTGTGTGTGTGTGTGTGTGTGTGTGTGTGTGTGTGTGTGTGT